GGAAAAGTCAGCGGAGTGATGCGCGGGGGAAGCGCGGTGGAAGAGGAGGCAGGGCGAGTAGAAGGGGAGCGAGCCGGTTGTGCGGAGAAAAAAAATGGAAAAACGTTACGAGTGTATTCATACGCGCCGAGGCAAAATGCCTCCGCGTAAAAGTGAATTCCGCGCGGCATGAATTTGTATGCGCTTTCGGAAAATGTTTTCGAAAACAGGCGCGCGCGTCCGCGTTGCTCCGCGTCGGCGAAACTGCGCGCGTCGCGTGCTGCGCTCAACGTAAGACAATTAATTGCGAGTAACTGTGGTCGTCCTGACACAAGTTCGTGGCGCACATCTGCCCCCCCCCCCCCCACGTGCCTCTCGTCGGTCCACACCGACCGCCTGATTCTGAATTTTATCCTTCCCTCTAAATTCGTACGCAAATTTATCACGGGCTGAAAAGCACAGGCGCTCGCTCGCTCGCGAATTCGCTTCCGCGAATCCTGGCTACCGAATGCGAAATACACGTGCGTATCGCTGCGCGATGGTACGTAAAAAAATATCGCTTTGAAAAAAATGTTTCGCCAACAAAGACCACTATCGATCGTTCTGTCAGAAAAATGTCAAAGTTCATAACGATATATGCGCGATGCGCGCGTTGGGATGCGGATAGAGTCGATCACTTTTGCTCGGATGCTTTAATTTAGTTCGGTGTATATTTCACGCGTAGATTATGCGAGTTTGCACAATGTGATTAAATGAAACCTCCAATCGCTGGAAGCCTCCATTGTATGCTTCTAAAGTGACGCCGAGGTTCTCCATGCGAGAGAGGCCTCACGCCGTCACCATGTTACACACCACTGTGTAATTACTGGCTGACGTAAAAAAAAAAAGAAAAAAAAAACGCTCTTTTTTGTACGTTGCTTCACGTGAAACGGTTTGATTATATGGCAGCGCGTCGGCTTTAAATATCGCATGTACGCTTTGGTAGATCGATAGATACGCGTATCAAGCGTTTAAGCGTACCGCAATACCCGTCTTAGTTCCGTGTATACTTGTTAGGAAAAAAAACGCACTTTGTTCGCTGTATTGTTACGAAAGCGCCGTATGTACAACAGTCGAGGAAGCCGCACACGCTCCGCGCTCTCATGACACATTTAGAGCTAAATATAGTGCGGTCGAGATCGTAGGCTAATATTGAACGCGTTCTTCGTAATTGGATAAATAAAACCCGAGAAGATGTTCACCTTCGCCGTTAAATGGGGCACTGGACTAACGGCGACGAGCGCAGGGTCTGCCGCAGCGAGCGAGCACACGCGAACGATGTCACCTAGCAATATTCGAGAAACGTGATACATGAACGGTAACCGGATAATTGTTGTCTCATAATACATAATACACGCAAAGCGTATCGACTCCCGATATTTTCGAAAATTATCCGCGAGTGTTAAATGCGGCTGAGCTGGATTCTCGCACATTGATGCGACATACGAGGTTGCGGGTCTCCTGCATATTTTGGAGTTATTTATGTTTAACCGATCTGACGAGCGCATTTTATTACGCACGTGGCAGATGCAAAAGTATTGCGGTGGACCGCACATAACGCGTTTACGGCGAAATCGCGAGGAAATATTATCGCGCCTGGGAGATATTATCGTCACTCATACAATACAGGTTGCGTCGCATCGATCGCGCATCCTGTTCCTTTCCGCGCCGCTTCGGAAGTCGCTTTATGCGGATCCGATATGCGCTAATCACCGGTATTTATACGTATCACTGTCGGCGGGCGCGCCGGCATGCAGGCAACGGTCGTTTAATCGCGAGCTTAAATATAGCAACGTAATTGCGGGCGAAAGCGCACTTTTCGCGCACGATTAAAAGCAACCGCACCCGCCGATAATTGGACACGATCAACATCGCGCCGGAAAGTCACGGGCGTTAAGCCGCAACGGTATGATACGCTCGTGTGAGGTAAGGAGAAACGATGACTTTTATTTAATCACGCATCGATCGTCGCAGCCGAGATTATTTCATCATCGATCGGTCGAGCGAAATCGCTCAGGATAAACTTGATTCGTCATTAATAAATCGTTCTGGGGGAAAAAGGAGAAAAGGAAAAAGGAAAACAGAAAGCTTTTTCCTCACATTCTCACGAAAAAAATGAAGCACGAGACAAAATCGAAATATTACGTCGCCCGGAGAAACATTCACCGTCCGCGACTTTTCCCCGTCACGTCGATTAAATCCCACATTAAATCTCGACTTTCTATTCTACGGAGGATTAAACGCTGCAAGCCGGAAATTTTCACGCGGCTGTTCGACGCATTAGACGCCGGCGAGTGTTTACTGTGCGCGACACCCACGCAAGCAAGTAATTTTCCACCGAGGTACCAGTCCTCGCCGCGGATGATAAAACGTGCGGGAAAAAACGATGGTAGGAAAGGGAAGCGCTGCGCGCGCGACCCGGTTGCGTCAAGACGGCAGGAACGAAGTATACATCACGGAGGAGTCGGAGGATCGCGGGAGGATATTCCGTCGTACGCTGTAATTACGCAGTATTACGAGCGGCGTTACGACGGGGATGTTACATTAACGCCGCGGCTCGTGTTGTACGAGACGCGCGCGCGCGCGCGCGCGAGAATTAAGAAGACGGAATTAAAGCGGAGCTGCAAATTCGCTCGCGCGACTGGCTTTACGACGGACGACGACGTCACGAACCGAAGTGTAAAGGCACCTCTGCACGATCTATATAACGCCCGACGAAGCTGACAGAATTATGCCACGTATGCACGGACAAAATACTCGGTACGCGTAGCTGGATTTTCCCCAGAGATCGAACCAAAATTCTCGACGCAGACAAAAGATTAATTGAATTTACGTGACAATGAGCGAAGCATACGATTATTCTGGTTGAAGGAAACAGAATTTTGGACTTTTTAAAACCGAATTTGATTCGATAAGAGTCGGAAATTCAGTTGCCTTCAATCGAAACGCATTTGGTCACCACCACGTCTCTACGATCAATCTTTTCCTCCCTGCAGGAGCAGGAAGATACCGGCAGTTCGGTCCATTATCAATTATCTCCCACGAGTTTTAAAACAACAATGTTGAGAGAAATGCTTCTTTGATTGCGATAACAAAAGCATCGTTTCTGATTCATGAGTTTCCGCCGGATCCCCGCCGCGTTCTCTCGGCTGCACCGAGAGAATTTTTTTCTCCTGTGTGTAAAAGTCGTGAATTTGAACGGGAAAATATTGCATGGAAAAGCATCGGGAGAGAGAAATTACTCGTTTGAAAAATTAGAACTTCTCAGCCGCTTTTGTTGGAAACTAGTTGCTCGCGTCTTGTATCTCGGCGGGGTGATTCCCGGGACTCCTCCGGGCGAATTCTTGCGCGCATTATAAATCGCGTAAAACAGGCTTAAAGGACACGGGGAAAGGAGAGTGCTCGCCGCCCGCTCTCGCTCGTCGACTCCTCTAATGCCCGCATATTTCGCGACACGTCGCGCGGAGTCGCGCGGAGGCGACAGCGACTCCGAGTCGCGCAGCGCGTGATATTTCTCGCGCGCAACGTTTCATGCATACGGGACATCGATGACGATTTTTCAGCGCGACTTCTTCGGTGTGTACCGCTGACGGATCGCCGTACTTGCTTTCCGCGCATTTATTACACAACGTAAGTGTGTGGGATCATTGAAACTTCCGATAAATGGGTCAACGTGGAGTCTTCGGAGCAAGGAGTGAAATTGATTATCACGAGGTGATTTACGTGCCACGTATGATCGTTCAATCGACCGATATTGACAGTTTTCGTCTAGTCACGTAATTAAAATGTCCAAGTATCTTCGGCAAACTCGAACACCGCAACGAGAATAACGCAAAAAGTACGCGCGACAATGACTCGGTATATTTGTATTTTCAGCTTAATGCGTGTGTGTGTGTGTGTGTGTGTGTGTGTGTGTATCTTGGACTATATTTAACGCCGACAAATCTATTTATATGTACAGCGATGTTGCACGTTATCTCACGCGAAAGCATCAGTAAGGAGAACACTTAACAAATGATCCTTTCAATGCCACGTCAAAAAATAAATACATAATAGTCTATGTGCCGGTATATTTATCGTAGGACAATTTTCGGATAAGTATTTCGAGTATCACGAAGCGAAACGAAATTTCACTAGATCGCGACGCGCGGCCGGGACGGTCAAGGCCGACCTCGATTTTCGTCGAAAGCGAAAGAGATGGGAGACGCGCACGACCTTTCGCGGAGAAGTTCCGAATAAGAACGTCGATTAAAAACGCTCGCTCATTCGAGTCGTAGCGCGCGACTCTCGCGGTAAGAAATCGGCGAAGGACGAACGAACGAGCGAGCGAGCGAACGTGCTGAGGAGAAAGTCGTTGACGGAATAGCTGGAACACGCTGGCTATCAGCTGACGGAAACGAAGGCCGCGAGCGACGAAACACGGCGAAGCGCTGATGAATCGCGATACATCACGACGACGAGAATAACGGCTATGATCCGAAAAAAATGCAACGTGCCATTCGTCAGCTTTAGTCATCGCGCTCTTTCGTTTTTTCCCGGCATCGCCGCCGCTCATCGGAATTTAGACCTCGGGGGAGCGCGAGAGTTTAATTTAAGAATACGTAAGGCAAGGCTGGCTAACGAAAACTTCAGTAACGATTAACGGTCCACGTTATACAAGCCGGGCGATCTGAAAGTGTCCGTGGAATTTGGGTCAAGTCTCCGGCCGAACACATGCCAGTGCTTTTAACGTCTAAATTAATAACGATGATGATAAACCGATATTAGACGCGAGGAGAGAACGACGAGCAAAGGAGAGGAGAGGAGAAGTGAGATGAGGAAAGACGAGAGAAGGAAAAAGACAAAGTTAGCGAGAAAGAGAACGGAATGAATCACTGCGAGTGACGAGAACGAGCAACGGCTAACGTCACGTCGAACTTGACGTCCGGTGACCCCGATGTGTATCGCGCGACTTCGAGCGCGAGCAAGATGCGAAGACTTACCCGACTGACGTACGGTCGTTCGTTTCCAGCCGATGACAGATTTCCAAAGGCGGGGAGGGGATGACAGACTCGTCAGGAACTCGAAGATCACGGCGGACGTGAACGGATCGACACACGATAGTACGGCGATAATACGGCCTGGCTCGCGACTATCTCTTGGCGATGCTCCGCGACATATTCTTCTTTCGACACGACACGACAGGCTGCTCTCTCTCTCTCTCTCTCTCTGTCTCTCTTGACGAGATGAGTAGTCTCCGATCAGACTGCCGCTGACATGTGCGTGGAGAGCGAACGAGAGACACGACGAGCCCGCACTCGCGATTATTACAACAGGACGCCCGTGTGACGGAAGGAGGAACAGCGAGGAAGAGATAGAGATAGGCAGATAGACAGAGAGAAAGACGCGGCCGAATTTCCTGCCCGACAGCGACAGCTACCCGATCGCGCGCGCGCGCTTCTCCGTACCGCCGCCGAGTGTAGCGCACCGAGCGTAGCACCGCGCACTGACTGCTCTCGCTCCGTTCACCAAGGCGATAAACAAACTCACCGCGCGTCTCCCTCTCGCCGTGACTCCCCGTCCGCACTGCCGCCTCGCGTCCCTCTCACTCGCGCACGAAATCTCTCGTTCCCACTCGCGCACCAAACCTCGCAACGCGTTCGCGATCCTCGTCGCACTGAGGCACGCGCTGACTCCGCCGTCCCACTCTGCGACGCGCACGCGCCCCTCCCCTTTGTTCCCCTTCGCAACCCCGCAAACTTTACGTCACTCCACCGCCAGCAAGGACGTTCTTCTCCCTCCAGCCAATAGCGCGCGGCAGCAGCAGAGCGCCACACGTCGTTTATAACCCTGAATGTTTCCTTTTTTTCCGCCGCGGATCGGACTTGAGGGAGAAGTAACGAGTAAAAGCGCATTGTTCCTCGCTCCCTTTCGTTCCTCCGAGAGATATCCGCGGCAGATACGCCGGTGAATAATGCCTCATGACGGCGCTTCGAGATGCGCGCACGTTCTACGTGCCGCCGCGGAGCGCGCGCGTTTCCCTTGGCGCCATCTTCGGGAAATGACGATCAAACGATAGAATCGCGGAACGAGAAAGAGAGAGAGAGAGAGAGAGAGAGAGAGAAAAGGGACGCTCGCGTTTCGGGGGTATAGCAGATGTTCGGGGAATCAAAGTATCGTTGACGACGCGGTGCACTCTCTTCACATATAACTTCAATAAGGATGAACAAATGTCTAATGACTTATCCGTCGAGTGTATCTCGAATTGCATCGATAATTGCATCGATAAAAGTCGGTAATACTGCCTTAGCAGCGGGATACGCATACGATAATGCAGCGAACCTCAAGTCGGGCTTACCGACTCTGCCTCGACTAATGTATATGTATATGTATATGTATACGTATGCATCTTCGTTCCGTCTCCATTACGTTACAAAGAAACAGACGGTTAACTTGCATCTGCTTCAAGTTCGCGAACAGAGAATGCACAATTCGACGGACAAAGTTTCACAAACCTGCTATATGCAACAGCCTCTGTCCGGACGATGCTTAGTTTCCATTCTCATCGACGACTTGCAAATGTAATACGCAGCAATTTGAAACCTCCAACCGCCATGATCAACAGACGCACGATACTCCGTCCCGTACTTTCGGCTGTCCAGTTTCGCAAGATGTTGTTCACGACGACTGTTCGACGATTCGTCGTCGCGACACACGCACGCGAGACTCTCTCAGCACTCCCGGTGACGATTCAAGCGCGAGACTCGCCTGAGACGAGCCGACATCGCCGTGATACCGGAGAATCCAAATTACCGCGTCCCGGTCACTCCGTAACTGACAATCAACATGGCGGCGCCTTCGATTCTCGAAGTGCGACATTCGATTCTGAGATCGATATTCAACAACCCGACTTTGCACACGACTTTACGAATCGTTAATTATCCATCAGTTTGCGCTTGCTTCTTGCAAAATACATTGATCCAAACGAATAAATCATTACAGTAACAAGACAAATTAATTAGTCCAAAGAAATAAAATATATCTTATGCACTGATTGAAAGTCATGAGATAAGACAATTGGTCTGTTCTTTTTAGCTGCACTGCGGAACTAGTGCGATAAGTTAGAATGAGACAACTCTATATTTTTTCTCACTTTAACTTATTGCACCAGTTCAGTAGTGCAGCTAAAAAGAACCGACCAAATATGCTGAAGCTACTTTGGAGAGGTAATTTCCATGCGCGATATATTAACGTAAACAATGCTGTCGCGCATCTTCGAGCGCCACGTGAAAATACTTGAACAAATGCACGAAGGTTCGCTTCGACGACCTAAAAGCGTTCGTAAAAGCGCGAGATGAAACTTACGGATACGAGTGAGCCGAGGAACCTCTGGATAACGATAATTGTCGTCCAATGAATATTGCATTACGAGCTAATTACTCACGCATATCGGCAGTCGTGCAAACTGCGATGAAGAACTTGGGCTCTTACTCGGAACGTATCGGATGGTAAAGCAAACGCTTCGTTAGTTCGTGACTCCACCGCTGGTGTCGACGAGAGATTGCATCAGACGATTCGGACGCAGTAACGATACTCTGCCATTTGGTTTTAGTTTTTGGTACAAGTACTAGACAACATGGTGCGTATATCGAGATATCTTATAATTTTAATCCGTAAAAATCGCAACGATCCACAATGACCTGCCGGTGATTAACGCGTGTCCGTTTCACAAGGGACTTATTTGGTCCGGGAACGCGAATATTAATCGGCCGTGAACCGACATGATCGATAATTTAGGTCGGGATTTAGGTTATGTGTGGATTTTAATAGTGCGGGAACATACACAACAATTGTGCGCGATAAACCTTATACATGCTAATTGTGCATTACTGCTGACTCAAATCATTATCTTTCCTTCGTTCACAGAGTCGCGTTAGGACAAAGACGGTCAAGAAAGCCGCGAAGCTGATTATCGAGAAGTATTATCCACGTCTCACGTTGGATTTTCATACGAACAAGAGGATATGCGAGGAGATCGCTATCATCCCCAGCAAATCCTTGCGCAATAAAATTGCCGGGTGAGTATTGCAGCTACAGTTCATTCAACAAATTACAGTTCTGAACAGCTTGTATCGTCATTATTCTGTCCAGTGATTAATGGCTGCAACATGCATGCTCTATAAACTACCAAGCTGACTACTAACTTCATAATATCTGGATATGTTTGCTGGTTTTTAAGCATAACTTATAGTGATACGATAATCATTATTGTTGTATTTTTGTCATTAGATTTGTTACTCACCTGATGAAGAGGCTTAGGCACAGTCAGGTACGTGGTATCTCCATCAAGCTGCAGGAAGAAGAGAGGGAACGCAGAGACAACTATGTTCCTGAGGTCTCTGCTTTGGAACACGATATCATCGAAGTTGACCCAGAAACTAAGGAGATGTTGAAGATGCTGGAGTTCAACAACATCACTGGGCTCCAACTCACACAACCTGTACCACAATTTAGCAGGCGATCTTAAATAACTTTCTCCTTACTTGATAAACATGGTTGGTTTTGCATTTTTCAATAAAATAGCAGACTAACGTACACGACAGTGTGTGCTGTGTTGTACTTGCCGCGGCGTTCGCCCCTCCGTGAACCTCGATCATGGATAACCTCAAAAGTCCACTTGGCATCGAGAGTGTTCTCAAACGATTGCGCGTTCGATCAAGCTCTCCCGGTTATCAGTAGCCGGATGCAAACGCCGCGCGAAAAAATAGTATCCCGTCGGGAGAAACAATCGAAAATGATACGATTCATAAACGCGTGACGTACGAGAAAAAAGAAAGTAACGAGAGCGAAGGCGATAACGCGCATGCGCTCAGTTCGCCATCTTAATCGCACTGGACGAAACGTGCGACGATCGCCCGTGTCACATCCCGAGCTCAAAGTGCATTTGAAGCGAAACGCTTACTCCCGTGGGCTACATGAAGCATAAACGGTAAAACCTCGTGGTCCTGCATTCGCCCGGTCTGCGCCGCACACACACAGACACACGAATAATTATGTTATCGCATATTTGCGCGACATCGGAAACGACGACGACGACGACGTCGCCGCCGTTAGTCACCCCGCATTAATTTCTCATGTCCGCATCTGTCGCGTCTCGGCTCGAAAAACATCGACTGCCTCTGGTCGCGCTAGACATCGATATCATCGCCGACGGGAGTATCGCGTAGCCGTTGGAATAAAACCGGTAGCCCCCTGGCTCGCGACAATTCTCACGTCGGCGCGCGACCGAGGGGCGGGAGATTCGGCAGGGTTGCGACTATATCCTTGGAACGACGACACGGCCGACCAGGTGCGCGAGAATATATCCCTCGGTGCTGGAGCGAGCAGAGTGGATTCTATATTGTCGCGATAGCGGGATTCGCGGCGCGTCTCCTGGTCATCTAGTTCTCGAACAATGCGCTTTGTATGAGAAAACGGCAGTAGGGAAGGGCACGATGCATCTCGCGCGACGCGCGAAAAGATCGAGTCCTCGAGGACTATCTATCGGCGCGGCATTGGGTGCGTTCACGACACTCAACAGTTGCGCAACTGTTGAGTAATTCATCAACGTTATTGATCTGAACGTAAGGATCTAACAGTAAGGACCAATAGTCACTGATTGCTCACTCAGCTCGGTTTTTTCCGCTGAACGCACCCATTATCGCGAACGCGACGGCTTACTCTCCCGCGGAGACGCATTTTTACTTCCCCACACCGCGCGTCGCGTCGTCGTCGTCGGCGATTAGCATGCTGCGCGGCTACGTCGATCGAAGCGTCATAATTTTCTCATGCCACCGTGACCCGGCGAGACAGTGAAGCACGAGTTCCGCGCGATCGCAGCAGTCTGCGAGCGGCGTGCTATGCGCGACAACCTCCTCTACCCCGAGATCGATCAGCGACGGCGGCGTCGTCTCGCGCTGTGTAAATCTGCCGGCTACGTTCGATAAATTCGCGTTCGCGGCGAAAAACGTCGACGTACACCCGCGCCCTCGGCGTTGAGCCGGCCCTGGCCTCGGCTATGCCGCGAGGCTGCGCGCGACCTAGCGCGACCCAAGGCTAGGAGACCTAGCGCAACCCGTGTCGCGGAAGACTGCTCGCTCGCTGGAGAAAGCGAGAACGAGATAGAGAAAGAAGAAAGGGCGCGACGACTCCCTCGCGAGACAGAGACGGAGAGAAGGGAAAAGAGAGAGAGAGAGAGAGAGAGAGAGAGAGAATGCGATAGATGAACGAAGAAGCGACGGCGACGGTTCCGATAGTGCGGCAACGGCGGCAGCGAGAGCAACGCTTCAGGGCTTCTCCGGGACGGGACGGGAAGGGGAGCTTGCACGGCAGGCCGGCGAGTCAGTCGACTATTAGTGGTCTGTGACTCTGGAGGTGGGCCGACCACCGCAGAACCGAGCCGGACTGAGCTCGGTCGCGCTCGGCCGGCAGTCGGGGCCAGTCGGCCGCACCGCCGCTCTCTTCGGATCGTCGCGCCGCGTCGTGCCGTGCCGCGCTGTGCCGCGTCGCGTCGCGTCGCGTCGCGCCACTCGTTCCTTCGCTCGTTCGCTCTCACATCGCGTTCCTACCTCTCAGTTCGTTATACACCGTGCAACGAGAACGATCTTGCGTTTCCACGCGCGCGCGCGTTCGCTCGCTCGTTCGTCCGTCCGTTCGTCCGTTCGTTCGATCGTTCGTTCGGTCGATCGTTCGTTCGTTCGTTCGTTCGTTCGTTCGTTCGATCGATCGTTCGTTCGTTCGTTCGTTCGATCGTTCGTTCGTTCGTTCGATCGTTCGTTCGTTCGTTCGTTCGTTCGTTCGGCTAGTTTTATTTTTTTCGTTGGAACCGTCGCGAGAGTACTCGACATTACGCTATGTGACGGGATATCGCGGGGCACCGCAGTGTGTACCCCGTCGCCTCTTTCTCTCTTTCTCCTCCCCCCTTACGTATATTGTTCCCCTCTCGGATCGACTCTCCCGTCGACTCGCCTCGCCGACGTACCCCGGATCCCTCGCCCTTTGCCGAGACCTACCCCACCTCTCCCTTCTGTCTCCTCTCCACTATCCCTGTCTCTTTCTCGCTCTTGCTCTTTTGCTCTCTCTTTCTCTCTCCTACCCTCCCCCGACCCATCTTGTCCCTGTCCCTCTAGTCGTCCCTTGTTCGTCGTTCTGTCGTGGAAAGAGAGAAAGACGGATTACCTCGTGAACGCGCGTACACGGCGACGAGGGGACCACGAGGGCCCCGTGGAAAAGCGTGCTTGGCGAAAAAATGGAGTGCCCGCACCTTGGCCAAAGCGTGCGACTCGGCAATGACGACGTAGACGCGGGCGGCTGTGCTCTAAAGGATCTGCCGTTCGTCTGCGCAGGTAAGGTCCGCACAAAGCGACGAGACTACCTTTTACCGATTCTAAACCCGATCGGGGCGGGAGAAAAGGAGCGAGTGATAGAGGTAGACAGACGGATGGATGGATGGACGGATAGATAGATAGATAGATAGAGGGGAACCGGCTCGTCCTTCTCCCGAGAGCGATCCTTTCTTTCCTACGTAGCCAGCAACGTTTTGCACGTTGCTTGTCGCTTCCCGGAGCCCTGCCTCTCGCTCTCTGCCCTTTCTCTCTCTCTCTCTCCCCCCCCCTCTTTCTCTCTTTCTGTCTCTTTCTCTCCCTCTCGGCCCTGTCTTCCGCTCCCTTTTACGCTTCTCTTCCTCTCGCAAATACACGAGCGCTCTTACACACGCACGCACGTATGTGTGCACGCGCGCGCGCGTCGTAGCAGCCTTCTCTCTCTCTCTCTCTCTCTCTCTCTCTCTCTCTCTCTCTCTCTCTCTCTCTCTCTCTCTCGCGCCTTCTTCCATCTCTTGCACACGCTCTCGTACACGCTCCTTGCCTACGTTCCGTCTCTCTCTATCCCGTGACCCAGGCCCCGGCCGTTCCTCTCGCGGCCTTGAGCCATCGTAGCCGACGAGACTGAGCGGATCGTCGCCGTTGTTTCATTCGGGAAATGCGGCGCACACTTCGCAAAAAGTGATGAATGTTGATCCGCCGCTGTCGTGCGCTTCTACGACGCCGCTGTTATCGGCTGTTCGTGATGCTCCGCCTGACATATGTACGAAACAACGAGCGAATGACGTATCGTATGGATCGAACGTGTCGCGCGAATATATGCGCATATATGCACATAACGCGCGCGCTCACACACACATACGCATATACATACGCATATACATACGCATACACACACACACACTCTCTCTCTCTCTCTCTCTCTCTCTCTCTCTTCCCTCTTCTATCTCTCTTTCGTTCACTCACTCTCAAAGTGACATGCACGCGCGAGACGTAGCGCATCTCGTACACTTCGTGAACGAACGAGCGGTACAACACGGGCCTCTAGATGCGTACAAACACGTCCGTGCAGTCGCTCGTTTCTCGCACGGTGTGTCGTCGGTGTCCCATGGCTCGGTTTCGCGCGCGCGAGAGTGCAACGGCGAGATTGGCGGCGGCGGCGGCGGCGGGGGCAGTGGCGGCGGCGGTGTGTGTATTGTGGTGGTGTAGTGTGGTGTGACTGGTGTGATGCGATGCGTTGCGACGCGATACGATGTGATGTGGTGTGCGCGTGTGCGTAGTCCTGCTGGGAGTTCTCAGTATGCGGCGCGCGGCCGTCATTGGAAAATCAATACCAGACGGCACTAATCAGCTGGCCCAAGATCCGTCATTAGAACTCGCCGGCTATAACGGTCCTCCACCGCCGCTCTCTTTCGTAACTCGCCTGCTCGCGACAGTTTCTCACCCAGAGTCCCACGTCCGCGAAGAGAGCGGACTAGAGGGGAGTGTATGTGTGTGTGTGTGTGTGTGTGTGAGAGAGAGAGAGCGAGAAAGGGCGGAGAGAAAGAGAGCGACGTGGAGAACGAAAATATAGAATCGCCCGTGCTGAAACTTCGATGACACAACAATCGATGACGGCGCAGGAGGGAGAAGAGGGAACCGCGGTGTCTGTATGTGTGTTAGAATTATAGGACCTTTGTCCTTCGGTGCAGGCAGTGACATTGGTCGTGCTCCGTTGCGAAATATCGATTTAAAGATACGTGGATGCCGGTCATTAGGGAGGTGTTGCAGGGATAAAATAGATAGAAACACTGGAGTTGATCAAAGTTCGACCGAGGCGCTTCGTTCCGTCTCTCTCCCTCTTCGTAAAGTCTCGGTTGATGCTCGTGCGCGAACTTTTCCGTTGTTGCACCAGCGGCCGGCCGGGAACGAACGGCAGAAGTTCGGCCCAGACTCGAGGCGCCGACGGCCCGAAGAGCGTCGTAGGAGAGCGGTTTCGCTGATCGAGCCGAAAAAGCATGTCAACAAACAAAATGTTGTGACCATTCGCGGATTACAGAGCGCGCAAGTGTTATCGCCGAGCGTACTGCGTACTGAGTTGTGCTAAAGTGTCGGCGTTTACGAGACAATGCACGACGCTGAAGCCCGGTGAGGGAGACGAGGGGGGAGAGCGCGCAGGAGAGAGGGCAGACTGACGACGACGACGACGACGACGAGGATCGCCAGAGAGGAGAGGAGAGCCGCCCCTCGGAGGCCGTGAAATCGACAACGGCCACGACCGACGAGAGAGAGCTCGTTCTTCCTCGAATCCTGGTGCGATCCTCCGCGACACCGCGCCGCGCGAGCTCCTTCCTTTCTCTTTGCGCGACCTCGGGACTATATTTATCCGAAACGTGCGCGTTTTTTCTCCCCTTGCGCGTCCACCGTCGACCCGGGACCCACCTTGCCCCTCTGTCCCCGCTTTGTAGCCCCCCCTCCCCCCTACGCCCCCCTTTGCCCGCGGCTGTGCGCACGGCCCCCCCTCTCCCGGCATGGAACCCTCATAGATCGGCGCAATTGAAGTCGCCAAAGTACGACTGTGCGACTCCACCCGTTTGGCTAGGTTAATTCCGTTTCGGCGATTCGCGGTTTCTCCGTATCGGCGATATCGTTGATATCTTATGTAAGTCGATGCCATTATCGATTCCCGGTATCGTCGGCGCCCTCGACCGGTGTGTGACACACGTCGCGTGTGTTTGCGATTCACAAAGGCAGGCATTCTCTCTCTCTCTCTCTCGCTCTCTCTCTCTCTCTCTCTCTCTCTCTTTCTTTCTCTCTCGCTCTCTCGCTCTCGCGCAAAGGATACGCCGCGAAGGGGAGAAAGGTCCCTCTTTATTCCGATCGCAAAGGCGAACACGAGAGCGTGCACTCGTGGGGAGAGTTTCGCGCGAGATGGTGTAATTACGATAAACGGTGGCAATGCGTGGGCACAAGCAGCGGAGCTCTGTCTTACATAAATGGCAATGACGTTATCTATATTAATTGACGCTCGGGAGAACGGGAGAAAGCAAGAGGAAGGGATGCATGCGGGATCGCGCCCGGACGCCGGGCTGCGCCAAACGTCAAACTTATTTCCACCGTCGCTCTACGCGTTGTTTTCCTTTCACGGTAGTGAACGAAGCTCTCGCATTCTCGCGCGCGCGCGTATATGTGGGTGTGTGTGCTATTGTTGCATTTATTTCGACGAATAAGTAACGATTATTCATTGCTCGGCCGGGCGATCTCAGCCGCGAGTCTGATGACAGACAGTTCGCCACGCACGAGAGATAACTAGATACTTGAACATAACGAGACAGATAATAGAAAATCATAGGTTAAGGCGGGATAAAAGATCGCACCGCGAGGAACGACACACACGCGCACACACGTGTGTACAATATGTAGTACCGTGTACGAGGAGGTAGATACGTCACTGGCGATGAGTCAGTGTCCCGACGAGCGGGCGAGAGGGGCGGGGGAGCGGGCGGGCGGACGGACGAGCGAGCGAGCGAGCGAGCCGCGTACTTTTCCCCCGTGGTCGTTTGATTACTCAACGCGCGGTGCTATCGGCGGATTCGTGGATTCGCGAGTGCTTTCGTGTCGTCATAGCCATCTGCCAAAGATGCGCGTATAGTAAAAAACGCCGACCTTTAGTGACTAATATTGATAAGAGGGCGGCCCGTTACTTGATTACTTTACGATAACGAGCAACTGCGTTTCGTCGGGATCTCGCGTCCAGATAAGATAACGAACTCGTAAATACCGACTCTGAAACGATTCTTTATCTTCCCGATCGAATTCCATGACTGTGTCTTATCTCACTCGCTCTCGGTGTGTATCAGTACTTTTCGATAATATTTACCTTCCAAGATTCAGCTAGTATGATATTTTAATGAATGAAGATATAAATAAATGAATTTTTCCAAACGTCCTCTGGTATATGTCTGTGTGTGTATGTGTGTTATCACTGGATACAACGACGACACATCGTCGAGATTAACGTGGTGAGAGGGAAAGAGATAGAGAGACCCGAGAGGGACGAGAGAGCAGTTCACGCTTGGCGAATCGCGACGTATCCGGCGGATCGATTTAAATGCCTCGGCGGAATCGCGCCGCGGTGGTCGCCGCGTGCGTTCCGCCAGCCGCGAGAGAACGACAGAGAGAGAGTGAGGGGGGGGCTGGGAGGGGGGCAGAGAGAGAAAAAGTGTCGCCCCTTACGCACTATAAAAGGACCCTCGTCCGCGCCGCCGCCCCTCTTCCGCCGCTTTTCCTAGGCTGGCGTTGCTGTTGTCGCGGCCGCTGCTGTTGCTGCTGCTGCAGCAGCAGCAGCAGCAGCAGGCTGCCTTCGGCTACACGACGTTGCAAAATCGATAATCGCGCCGTCGTTGCTAATCGGATAGCTGCGAGAGAACGCCGGGGACGCTTCTGCCTCGATACCGCTTTAGCCGCGGATACTTTGAACCCGGAGCGCGTCGGGCACCTTTGGCATTTTTATCGCGAGCGTCGCTTTATTGGGAAAGCCGCGAGATAATGCGCAATGGCGGCCAAGCCATATCGGCGGTGTCGCGTGAGGCTGTATTTTCAACGCGACACGCGCGCGGAAGTGCGACAAGGATCTCCCGCGAATGCGAGCCAAGCATACACATCGATACGCGCGACCGAGCGCGATTCCTTCGTCGAGCAGTTCTCCGTCGCTCATTCAGCCACGTCGCCGTTGCTCCTGGTCGTCTCGTCGTCGACGTCGGCTCTCCGGTGGCAACGACGAACACGACGACGACGACGCGCGACGACGGTGTCTCGTAGGCGTGGCGGAATCGAATTGTCTGTAGCGAGACGGAAAGAGAGAGAGAGCTCGGCCGTGCGCGCCGAGCTGTGAGCGGAATGAAGAGGGAGAAAGCAGCTCGACGCAGTCGTTTCTTCTTCGAGTACGCGAGTACTTCCTTCTTCTGCCTCCCGGCGAGACGGCGGCGGTATCGCCCGACTATCACTGCTTCTGCCGCGCGAGAAGAGGCCGGCACTCGATTGTCGACGCGTCCGCCGACGCCCGTCGCGACGCGCGCTCCTTAATTCCTCATTCGCTCGTGCAATCCTCCGGAGTGCTACCCCGGGTTTCCGCACGTACGTCGCCGACGTCGATGATTTGCGACCGGAAAAACTGCATACCCGCGTGTGGCTCGGTCGTGAGCGCGACGAGCAGTTGAACCGAGCCCGCTTGAACACGAGCGGAGAAGTACAATTTTGTCGTCGTTCAAACGGCTCTCCTCGCGGTCGCGATACGGCGCGGGAACGGCGCTATCATTTGAGTGTATCGCTAGAATTGCTCGATATTTACATTGGGAAATAAAAATTTGGCTCTTTGATCATATATATATATATATATATATATATATATACATATACATAGTCACGTGGTGAAAAAATTATCAAGTCGAGAGAGCAATTTTGCAGTAAATGTTACCATAGTACTAATAAAAGTAATCTTACATGTTCGAATGTTTTGTCTTGAATATTTTATCTTCACTGAGTTGGAGCAACAAGGAAGAAGCGATCAACGCCGAAAATAGCTGTAATTTGCGAAGAGATTAAATTTTTATTTTTTTCCTCCCACCAATCACCTCTAATCACGAAGTTGACGCTGTGACTGATTTTGTTGACACAGCAGAATTTTTTTGCCCGTGCAGCTGTCGTTACGACGATGACGCGCGCATACGAGGATCCAGCGGATTGTTCGGCGGTCGCGTTGAACAAACGAGAGCGCGCTCGTACGAATGACGTGACATACACGACCGGTCGTTTCATGCATTTTTCGACTGATAACGCGCCGTTCGTTATCTACGAAACTACGACGCATCGAGACCGCCGCGCCGCGCCGCGCCGCGCCGCGCGACACTCCGTGCCACCCGCGTCGTTTCAGCGACAGCGATTTATTTTCCAGCAGATATCGGCGCTAATGGTGTTCCCCGACGACGACGACGACGACGACGACGTCGTCCGTTGATGCACGGCGCAAGAAACGCGCGGCGCTGGGACCGCGATGACTATCGCGTCGGGCGACGTTTAGGCCGATTTAAATCGTTCGAGCAGTGAATCGCAGCTCAACCGGCTCCGGCTGGCGAATCGTCATCCCCGAGACTCGCGGTCGCACTTATTCGTCGCGTCTTATCCGTGAACAAGAGCAGGCAGGAAAAAGTATATCGCGATTCGCCATCGATGACGAATTGCTGCGCCATTGCGCAATCGACGTTCGCGAGTATCGCGATCGCGGTTCTTTTTTTGACATTACATACGCCGGTTGGCTGCGAAATTAGCATAGTTCGCATCTACATCACAAAACAGTCCCCCCGTTCCGGAGGAGTGTTGACTCGCGAGAGTGTTTCTCGCTGGATCCCGATAGCCGCGGGAGAGAAAGAGAGAGTGAGAGAAAGCACACGAGATGCGTCGCCTCTCTGGGCGAGATTTGATCGTTTAATCGAGATCGCGCTCGGTTTTCAATCCCCCCGTTTCTTGCGGATCGGCCGGGCTCCTCACGGCGGACGAGTCGCGCTGATTACGAGACGTGCCGAGAAAGAGCGCACGGTCTAAGGCTTCCCATGTAGCGGACACCGAAAACGGACACGAGTCCTCCTCCCAGATAGAAACGACCTTCGGCGAGATCAGATTTCCATGGCTGGACTTTTGGCGTCGCCGTTTCACTTTTCACGCGTCCGCGCTTTTTAACCTTCGCTCTAGGTGAGCCCCGTTCTCGCGCGCGCGTTCTCGCGTTCCATGTCGTGTAAGATTACAACTGCCGCTCGCGGACGTCGGATAATCGGCCACCTCGACGGGAAGGATTCGAGTAGCGGAGAGAGATAGGGCGATAAGGGAAAGGGCGGCGAAGAGGGAGAGTGAGAGTGCGTGAGAGAGAGAGAGAGAGAGAGAGTGAGAGTATACACTCGGAGAGTTTCGATCGCCGACGTGGATTCGTGAATCCGCCTGCATATGCTTTGCATATGCAAAGCGGTGACGGATTTACACCTTCCGTTGCCCTGAGTCACACGACTCGAGTCTTCCCGTTATGGATGATTCTAATCTTAGAGCTGTACAATAATGCGCGCTTTAATTTGCCCGTATCGCGGCAAAGTCGTGTTTCGCGTTGATTTCGCATATCTCGAGGCAGCGCGCCTGCGAAAATATTCTCCCATCCCCTTTCTTTTCTCTCTCTCTCTCTCTCTCTCTCTCTCTCTCTCTCTCTCTCTCTTCTTTTCACACGATCCCAATGACTGAATGTGCTCCGCTATCGACGTACCGCGGATTTCTCCCGCGAAGCGTTCCGCGAGACACACGGGGGAGAATCGTCTCCTCTGTCTTCTCTCCCTCTCTCTCTCTCTCTCTCTCTCTCTCTCGCTCGCTCCGATACGAAATAACTCGTTTCTATCGCCGCATCCGCGTCGTCGCATTCGAGCCCGGATCTCTCGTCGTCGCCGTAAAATTCAATGGATACCTCATCGAAGCGCTCCTCGCTTGGCGCCTTAATTAACGCGATGTTCCCTCCCGAGGAGGGCGGGAGATTTCGAGTGACCGGGATTTAAAAGAAAGAAAAAAAAGGAGAAAAGAAGGAAGGAAAAAAGAAAGAAGAGGCACGAAACGCGCCGGGGAATCCGAAGCCCGATGGAATTCCGAGACATTTCGCGATCGATCGGCTGCGAAGGGGGTGTGTCGGCCCCCCCCCCCCCACTCTCCTCCGCACTCCGCTTTTACGCGCTCTCTCGAGAATTACGTAAGCTGAGACGAGCCGAAACGACACGGCGGTGGTGCCGGTACTCGCAATTTCGCAACCACCAGATACATTACACCCTGCGACTGGATGGTTGTCGATCGCGCCGACCGGAGCGCGTTGAAGATCGCTCCGAGAAGAATACGCCGATTGCTGAGAGGCTGAAATATAAAAAAATAAAAAATGCGAAATGTTGTCAATTTTGCCGCGAGGCATAAAGTTCGAGCACCGCGTAATAATTATCATTATAATGAAATGGACGAGAACCAGCCTTCCCCCCCCTCACCTCCACCCCCCACCCCCATATTTGATGTTCGCATGTATGCGGCGCGCGAAATTGATCTCGCCGGCGATAAAAGTGGCTATTAATATCTATTTTGCATGGTGTGCGTGCGAGCGTGCACGCACGTGTTTCCCGGGTTACCCTAGAATACTGTGGAACGTCGCTGCGAGCTGATGCACACGACGCGCATTGACATTTCACGATTGAAGTGTCGTAGACCGACGCGGTAAACACAGTGCCATTGGACCGTATCTTCCAGTGTTTCCGTCAACATTCTTCAATCCTCACCCCAGCCGCCCCTCCGTAACTTGCCACACATGCAGACACACACACGGCGTGCACGGAGAATGCATCGCGAAGCGCAAACGCACCTTTCGAAGTGCGTCCCGATGCATCGACGAAACAAACGCCCGGTCAATTTTGAATTGACGTTCCGGCCGAACGCTTGATACGATTAATACGTCGTTTCAGCCGATACCGTTTCTGACCGTCGTCGTCGAATTTAGCGCAGCGGCGTTACCGCACCTCATTACACACGCCACGAGCCGCTGCTCGCTGCTCGGAGATTTCCTCCGAGGCCTGGATGAGATTTGAAAATAGATAGAAAAGTTCCAAAGGAACCTTATCTCAGATTGGCTGAAGCAAAAATTGGCGCAAAAAAATGCGCTGAGTCACGCGCAAGTTACGTGTAGAGTGCAATTGATCGCGTCTATAAATTCGGAGTAGCTCTCTCTTCTCTAAATTAGTTAAGTTAAGTCCCAATCTAATCGTCAATAGAGAGCCGATGAGACGAGATGAGATGAGATGAGATGAGATGAGATGAGATGAGAAGTCTGCACTAGGAAAAAATGTATCGTTGCGTGAACCAAAATTTTGTTGTAACGATAAAATAATTTGGTTAAAATATGCCCAACAAAACTGTTCAGTTCCTGTAAACAAATATCTCGTTTGATTACAGGATTTGTTCGTATAACGTATAACACTTTTGTTATAGCAACAAAAAGCTATATGAATTTTGTTAAAATACTATAATTGTTAAAATACTATAATTTTAAATACAATATTTTTTCTTAATATATAAAATCTAAATTTTAATGCACAAAAAGACAAAATAGCATCCATTGGGCATTATTTTAGTTTATGTAAAATAATATTTCGTTATTATGTAATTTTTATGGATAAAATAACTGAAATGCTTAATTTTTATATACAAAGTCTAAGAACAAAATCATTTGGTCCAGAGGACAAAGCAGAAAAATATATATTTAGTTTAGTTGAGACAACGAAATATTTTGTTATATAAAGCAAGATATTTGGTTGCTATTAAAAAATGCCACTAAACTAGACAATTTCGTTAGAGATACAAAATCTTTTTTCCTAGTGTACGCTTGCTTTTATCCGCCGTGTCGAGTCTCGATCGTGTTCAGATCGCGTTCTTCCTTCGTGCTCTTTCTTTTTTCCACCACAGATTTGCCTCCCAGCCGGGCGACACGCTCGTCCCCCTCGGCCCCGATTGTTAATACAACGGCATCGATCGGCTGGTGGAGTATTCACGCGAATATGTTACTGACGAATTGTGTTATTATCGTGCATAGTGTGCGGCACCGAGAAGAGTCCCTGGCTCTGTCTGCACTGCGGAGCCGTGCACTGCGGACGGTACGTGGCGGGCCACGCGCTGCAGCACTACGAGACTAATACTCAGCACTGCGTGTGCATAGACTGTGAGAACCTGGCAGTATTCTGGTGAGTCTTCGTTTCCCCTTTCCGCTTTCGCCATGTCGCATGCTACCGCCATCCGGCGGGCGTATTCTCCTCTTCCCCTTTGAAACCCCGGTGTAATTTTAAAGAGCGAATTTTCGATCCCGCGAGACACGCGAAAATATTACCTCACCTCACCTCGCTCCACCACATCTTACCCCATCCCACTTCCCCTTACGCTGTTCGACGCGCGCGCTTTCACTTGCGTGAGTAAACGTAGAGACTACCTCCGCGTGTCGCGAAAGTCGCCGGTCGATAGCGCGACATGAAGAAACTGCAACGTGTTTCACTTCGATTTCCAGTTACACCTGCGACGAGTACGTGGTGAACGACACCACGAGCGGGCAGATCGAGAAGATACGGCGCGTCACCTTCCGCAAGGACGAGCACAAGGAGAATGAGACGAGCTGGAACACGTCGCCGTCCACGACGCCGTCGTCGAGGCGCGACGATGTCGGCCACGACAACGACGACCCGGACGCTCTGTGGAAGGCGGAGGTGGTCGTGAGGAACCTGCGGCCGAGGACCGCGCGCAAAAGGCTACACGCCCTGGACGCCAGTAGCGCGGACAATCGACCGGCGACCAAGCGGCGCAGCTCCAAGAGTACCAAAGAGAAGAAGGTCGTCGGTCTGAGGAACCTCGGTAACACCTGCTTCATGAACGTGGTGCTGCAGTCCTTCAACAACATCAGCCACTTCTGCGAGTACCTCACGCAGATGCCGTGCTTGGAGGGCATCGCGTTCGACGAGGCGTCGTTGGAGCCGCCCACGCACCGGGGTCGCATCGTCACGCCCGGTCGCGCCAAGGAGATGTCCATGAGCGACGCCCTGCTGGCCGAGGAGCTGAGAAAGGTACTGCTGGGCCTGAGCCTGGGCGGCTCCAACGGCCAGGCCATATCGCCCGAGTGCCTGTTCCTCGCTATCTGGAAGGTCGTGCCGAGATTTCGGGGCTATCAGCAGCAGGACGCTCATGAGTTTCTCACCTACATGCTCGACCGACTGCACACCGAGCTGCTTCAGCTACTGCCCAGACTCGGCCACGAGCCTCTGGGCTTGCGCGGCAAACAGAGCATCGTCACCGCCGTTTTCGGAGGCACCCTTCTAAGCGTGGTAAGTGTGCTGCTGCTCTTGCCACGAAAACAGAGAGGGTGAGAGGGGGCGGGGGGGGGGCAGGAAGAATGAAAGTGACAGCCTCGAACGCACGCAAAATGTTAGCGATTTTGTCGAGTGGGTCGAGCGGCAGGAAGGGAATCTCCAGAGTGCTCTCCAGAGAGAAAAAGAGAGAGAGAGAGGGGGAGAGAGAGAGAGAGAGAGAGAGAGAGAGAGAGAGAGGGAGGGAGGGAGATCGGTGTCGCGCTAGCCAAAATCACGTTCTTCTTCGTTTTCTTCTTGGGAGAAGCGCGGACGAATTATGGATCGCGTTTCTTCGCGCAGGTCCACTGCATGAACTGCCGTACAGACTCGAAGACGCACGAGCCCTTCCAGGATCTCTCGTTGGACATACCGGACAGATTGCAGAGACGGACGAAGGAGCAGGAGGAGGTGTGCAGTCTAACTTACAGTCTGACGAGATTCTTCAAGGTCGAGGAGCTGGCTGACAGCGAGCTCTACTTCTGCGACAATTGCATGGGCAAGCAGAGGTCCACTAAGAGGTTCTGGATACACAGGCTGCCTAATGTAAGTGTCGAGGAAATACGTGAGCATTTGCGCGCGCGAGACCTACGTAGAATCACGAATTTGAAATCTTTATCTCGCCGAGAAAGAAGATTATGCACACACGTCCTTGTATCCTTGTATAAACAATTTCGATATATTTCTCTCTCTCTCTCTCTCTCTCTCTCTCTCTCTCTCTCTCTCTCTCTCTCTTTGCGACACACATGTGTGCGTATTTCTTTCCGTTCTCTCTTTTTTTTTCTCTTCATTTTGTCGACGGTGTTCTAATTTTACTGAAGGCGGTGCATTCGCGAGTCTGTGTGTCTCGCTCGATATAGTTTGCATGAACGAACGCGACCCGAAAAGAAGGGAGCGCGCTTTCGATCGGGCAGAAATACGTCTGACGTCGTACGCGGCCAACGGGTCGATGCTCACGTTGCGCCTCTTTCCAGGTGTTGTGCCTTCACATTAAAAGATTTAGGTGGTGTAATTCCTATCGCTCGAAGGTGGACACGCAGGTGGACTTTCCGATGGAGTCCCTCGACATGTCCGCGTTCACCGTGCGCGGCATGACCGGGACGAGATTGGGCGCTCAGAATAGTCACCTTTACGACTTGGCTGCCGTTATCGTGCACCATGGCTCTGGGTACGCTCCTACTAAACAACGCTTCTAATTACAGGCCGGCCGGACTGTTGGTTGGTTGGTTGGTCGCTCGCTCGCTCGCTCGCTCGCTCGCTCGCTCGTTCGCTCGTTCGCTCATTCGCGAAGAAAACATATCGGAACCATTCCCGTGGTAACAACTATCGCGTACAAACGCTCATATCATATCATATAAGATAACGCAACACCATTGTATTCCCCCTCTGTGCTGTTTCACAGTATTCACAAAAAAGTCCTTCTCGGGAGTACACCGGTGGTCTCACCGAATGTCTCTCATCGAGCGTCGATATTTCTTCTACCGTAGAAAAATTTTCATTTCGAAACAAGTCGGATTAAATACTCTCGCTACTAAGCGCGATACTTTTATCATTATTCACGAGGTTTACTTCGTGAGTAACGGAGTTTCGCGTGATTTACATGGTGAAATTTTATGTTGCAGCGCTGGTACCGGCCACTACACTGCCTTCGCTGTGCACGACGGCCAGTGGTTCCACTTTAACGACAGCTCCGTGCGACCGGCGAGTACCGAATCTGTCGCAAAGTGCAAGCCTTACATTCTATTCTACGTGCGGAAGGAGTTCTCCATTCCACCCCCCTTGTGACGTCGTTTCGCCGACAAGAAGCCGCGTCCCGGCGGTGAGAACCTCGATGATGAAAACGACGAAGGAGACGAAGATGATGACGATAACGACGATAACGACGATGAAGTGGAGCGAACGAAAGAGAATTGAGCGTACCGCGTTCCTCGCGAACGAATCTTGATCGCGGGGCGGAGCGAGCAGACAAATAGGCAGAGGAACGGAAAAATAGCGAGAGAGAGAGAGAGAGAGAGAGAGAGAGAGAGAGAGAGAAAGAAAGAGAGAGAGAGCCAAGAGATCGCACTTCGAGTGCCGCTTCGAGATTGGAAGAGAAAGATTCGTCCGCTTATCGCCTATATTATTCTGATAAATGATTGCTCACCGTTGCCAAATCGTACAATCTCGTAGAAGCGTTATTTGTGTCCGTGTTCGCTATCGCGTTTCGATGACTCGCGACGAGGACGACCTTTGAAACGCGATTGGAGTAACCAGTCGAAGATGTAATTGCGCCGCGCGCATAAAATCGCTCGAACGCGTTCCTCCTCGTGCTTTATTAGGTAATTAAAATCGGGCGGATCCCGAATGAGAGCTCGACGTTCGCGAAGAAATAGCGGACTGACTCGTGTACCACGAGTGAGAAAGAAAGAGAGAGAGAGAGAGTAAGAGAGGTAGAGGGAGATCGACTAATACGGCGCCCGAGCGTGCGTGTATCGCGTTACAGATCATTTCCATAATCTTATCCACAACGTCTTTTCTTTGTATCGGGGATGCTCCGTGGCCTCTCCGTCCTGTCGTTCGCCGCGAGTCGAACGGTGTTTCCTCGTTTCAGACTTTTGCATTTCTGTCGCATTACCAGGCGAGCGTCGTGTGCGTGTGCGTGTGCGTGTGTGTGTGTGTGTCTCTACGGTGAATGCGCGCTTCTCCTCGGTTCCCTTCGTTTCTCAATCAGAGGTCACGGTTTCTCCCCTTCTCCATCGACTTGGTTCTCTCGCGCAGGAAGGCAAGCGAGCAAATTCTATATTTTTCTAGCTGAGTAGTCGCGCGCGGGATGGACGACGCGGAAGTCACGCCGATCGTTCGGTCGACGCGCTCGAGCTGGCCTCGCGCATCGCGCCCGACGAAGATGCGGACGAGGAGGCGAGAGTGTGTCGCACGGTGTATGATTGACGTCGAGCACGCATGCGTATCGTGTCAATGTACGTAGCACGCATGCGGTCGCACGAGTACGTGGAGGCGCGCGATTGTATGCGAAGCGTGTATATCGCGGCGGGCGAACCTTCCCTTCCTTTCTCGGAGACGGCGAAAAGGGGAGAGAGAGGGAGAGAGAGGGGGAGAAGAGCGAGAGAAAGGAAGATAGGTAGAGAGGAGGAGATTGCGCGAGAGAAAGAGAGAGAGAGAGAGAGAGAGAGAGCGCTCGAGGTGGATCGCGGAAACGCATTGCCTTTAGCGTCGATTTTCTTTACGCTCTTACTCGGCGGCCGTCGACCGCCCTACCCCCTCTCCCCTTTCCTCCTCTCCTCTCTCTCCCCTCCCTGGCCCCCGCCCCACGCTGCCCCCCGATCGAATCGATTAAAGCCCTCCTCGGTAGCGGAATAACGTGTAATCGCGTTCCTCGTGTAGTCCTAAAACGCGAAAACGACTGGTCTTCTCGGTAGATAGATCTTTTTCTAGGCTTAGCGCGCGCACGCGCGCAGCATCGTTGTTTCGAAGGAGCTGGAAAGCGCAAGTACACACCGTATAGGGCCGACAGCGTTACTTCTCAAACGACTCAAGCCACCCTTCATCCTTCCTGCCCCTTCACTTCGCGCCACTTTACCTCCTCGCTCACCTCGTTCGTCGTACCATGCGTCCACGTATGCTCACGCACGCGAACACGTACACACACACACACACACACACACACACACACACATACACATACGCGCGCACGCGTGCGTTTGCACGCATCACACGCATGCATGCATGTATGTATACATATACACGTGATCCTCCGATCCTTCTCCCCCTGTCCCTCTCCACCGTCTGCCCCTCCTCCCGATCCGATTTTGGATAAAATGTATTTGCAAATAGCGAATGACGATTTGGAATATGTATCTGTAAATGTATAATCAAGTCTATATATATATATAAAATATACGTTAACTATCGTGCGTACCGTATATTTTATATACGCTAAAATCACTTATAAATAGTTACTCGTTATTCGCGGATATACTTTACTCAACACTGCTCCGAAGACCCTTTTCCACCGCCAGTCCTGAAAGACTCGACGACTCTTATGTGATTATTTAAAGACTTATTTTTTCTATAATGATAACGATAATAATGATAATAAGTTAATGCGTAGCGAAGAAACGTTTTATTAAGGCGATAACTGCGATAATGCGCATCTTCGGCAAAGACTTACTCAAGTATGAAACATGACGGAAGTAAGCGTGCAAACAATATTATTGAGAACAAGTGAAATATGTACGAACGGCGAATAAATAAAGAACATGAATCGACGGTTGCGAATGTTTCATTAGGATGACTCAACCGAGATTGTTGATCTCTTATTTTCTCACTTTTCTCTTTTTTTTTCTTTTTTTTATGAATATTGTACGTAACAAATATCTAAATCTAAAATCAAATTCTAAAATCAAATGATCCTCGCAAATTATTTCCGAGAGAGATTACACGCGCATTGTAATAGTCCATAGATAATAGTAAATGTGATAATTACATAGAGCCGTCCACAAGTCCAATTACGATCTAATTCGCATTAGTTCTATTTACAACATTATGTTCAGTGATTTTCTAATCATTGTTGAAATGCGATGTTTTTGGAAATTGTATCAACAGCGATATCTCCTTATTATCATCTATAGGAATGTCGAGCTTGTTTTTTTCGGCTATCGGTACAGAGATCTTATTTTCTAGTTTATAATCTTACAGAGAAACTTTAATTTCGATCACATGCACACTATGAAGGTATCATTGAGGCCAATTTTTACTCTTCGCCATAGGATGAACATTTTTCGGGCATGCGCATTGAATACGACAAATTTGATATCCCTCAGCGAAATACTTAGGTCGACTGTTTTAGGTCGATTGCTGTACAACGTGTTGAGTGTTTTCGCAGTCATTTACAAATTTTTGAAAAGTTTCTGCGAATCCGTTTAAAATCGACTTATCTGCTATCTAATATCTATTATTATACGCACAGAATACGTATTATTATAAACGAGTTTTCACTGCAGAAATGGGCATATGTAGAAAATGTAGAGAAATGACATCGCTCAGTTTTGGCGAGAACTTGTGGTAGGTAAAGTTTCAACGTGAAGAATTCTTATAAAATTTTCAAAAATTAATACGTAACTTTAAGAATATCCTTATAGAGGCCGCTTCAGTATTTTTAAATAGTCAAATTAAATATCTCACTGAGAAGTGTCCGGTTGATGTCGTAACTATGCGCATGCTTGAAAAGAGGCTTATCGATTGAAACTGCTGAAAATATGCCCCAGAGTGGTTCCTCCATGAGGTATACGATTCGAATTCGAACTTCACTCCGGGATTATGCAGCAGGACATAAAGAAGCATTTGTGATTACCGATAGTCGGTAAGACGGTAAAGAAAGAGAAGGTACTGTCGCCGTTGATTGTTCCCGTTGCTGATACCATCTTCCAAAAAATCGATCCTAGGAGTTTTATTCTTCGACTACTCCCTCTCAATACCCTTCGAGATATTTCAATAAGTAATAAAAAATTATTTCTTCCTTGTCCGCAGAAACCGAGCGGATTTCTTGATCTTAGAAGAACGAACCTGATCCCTTTTGGACAACCGACGCTTCGACGGTGAGATTAGGCGACACAACCTCAGACAGAGACAATCGGACAACGCTTCTTCTATCTCGTCAATTTCAGAAACAATGTCCACATCGATGTCTTTTTTGTTTCTCCCCGCTGATGCTACTACGTGACCAGGAATCAACGCATCACGTTGTTGCACCTCCAGAGAATCGCCATGTTCGACGTTTGACATCAAGGCCTTGTTAGACCGGAGATTTCTCGCGAGGAAAATCGAGTATCGATCGTTCGAGTCATCCTCCTGATCCTGTTTCGGCAACGTTTCGTTATCTCTTGCCGTCTCCGAGGCAGTCTCCTTGGAGCTTCGAGTCCGCAGATCGTCCCGGTCGTGCCGCCTATAGGGATGATCCTGAGGAATCTCTACGAGGCTCGACGTCTTCTTCAAAACTTTCCCCCCAAGGACGAGCGTCGGGTTCGACATCGCGACGCGATGGGTGATCCTGCTCGACGATTTGTCGCGGCTCGTTCCGTGGCTTTCCTCCGCCGAAGAGTGTCCTGAGCAACTGTTTGCTCTGGAGTCCACTTGGCAGGCGCGATTTTTGTAAATCAGCTCGGCCGGCTTCGACGCTCGGCCGTCGCTTCGTTGCCTCGGTCTTCTCTTGAATCTCGAAGAGAACATCTTGATGAAACCCTTGATCCTGGACCTCGACGACAACTCGTCCTGCCTCTGATCCTGTGCGACGCAGCACAGAATGTCCGCGACGGTGTCCTCCAAGCCTGCGTTCGCCAACCTCGTTATGCTCGGATGCCTCTTCAGCTGATGCGCGGTCTTCCCTTTCAGCTGGTCGTCCATCTTCCCGCCACGAAGGTCTTCGTCGGCCACCTGCTGATCGATCGTCCTTTCGCGTTCACTGGACAGCCCCGCCGGCGTTTCCGAAATCGTGAAAGGGAAGCGCTCTTGGCTTTTTCTCATCTTCCTCTTCGGCTCGCCGCTAAAGTTCAACGTCGACGAGGATACTCGCGCAACGAAGCTAGACGTCTCCCGCGTCCTGCGCACCTGGAACACCGGATCCTTCGACGGTTCCGAATCACTTTGACCAAAGCTCGATTCATTCTTCCGAGCTTCCGGCACATCTTCGACCACCTTTCGGCACCAAACGATCTTCCTTATCTCCGGCGAACGAGGACGCTGAGGAGTGTCCAGCGGACACGAATCGCACTCTTCTCCGCTCGTCAATTCGAAACATCTCTTCGTCGGCGAGTATGCCACTTCCGGTTTGTCGCGGCGCGATTCATGACGCTCCGTATCCTTTAAGTTATCGGAACGTTCCTCGTCGTTGTTCGACGTCCACACGTCCTCCGCTCGCCAAGCGACGTTGGAACAAAGAATTAGCGGGCAGCTTTTCTCGCTGCTCTCGGCCAGACATTGCGCTTTACGACGAACCTCAGCCTCAAATTCCGCGCTTTGAAAATACAGTGGACTCGAGGAAGGTAGACTCGCGAGTTCGCGTTCGTTAACCTCCGCTTCTTCGTATTTCGTTTGTTCGTGCTCCTTGGACGGGAACGTATTCGAGCGGGTCCCAACAATCGTGACTTGGGGACTACCTTCTCGGGATTTCGGCAAAGGATCCTGCTCGTGGATTCGGAAAAACGACTTGACGTCCAGTTGGCGATGAACGACACCATCGCGCCATATTTCGGAAGGGACATCGCTCCGACCGGTGAGCCTCGCTTCTTCGCGACTGGCGGCTTTGCCGCCCGAACTCTGTGAATTCACGCGACATCCCGGCAGTTTAGTCGAGCTGCTGGAAGGCACGACCTTGCTGCTAGGTACCCGGACGGGTATCCTGGAAGGGACGCGTGACAGAGCTGTCCCAGGCGACTCTGAGGATCTCGGTACGCGCCAAGTTTCTCCTTTCGCAGTGAAACACCGAACCCTGCAGGATGCATCGACCGAGTCTTTTCCCCCCCGAAGGTCTTCGTGCTTGCTAACGTCACCTCTCTCTCCCTCGCCCCGCCGCAAAGACACGGCAGATAAAGCCTCGATCAGCTCGTGCGGGTCGACAGGCTGCACCGCGGAGCACTCTCGGCTGTACGCCGAGGTCGGGCAGGAAATATCCTGCGAGTGAAGCGCGAGCATGGGCACGTTCGTTATCGTCGCCATGTCCTGCTCGTACTTGTCCGACAGGTCGGTGTCGTTTTGAAACCGCCCGCTCGAAAGCGTATCTTTCTGCCAGCTGATTTTCGGCGTGCGGGACGACCGGTCGTAACCTTCAGAAGTCTGAGAGGACAGAGCCTCCTCCGTGATGTCGTTCGGAATCCTCCCGGTTGCGCGTGGCGAGTCTTCGACTCCTCTCGCGCAAGCATTCGTCGGTGGCTCCAAAGCGTCAAGGATATCCTGCGCGACGTTTCCCGCGGAACTATCCGCGAAGGTCCCTTGACAAGGTCCGTCATCGGATCGCCTCATCGAGCGACCTCGGCGATCCTCGTCGTCGCGGTGCGCTTCAGACATGATAAGACGACGAGAACGATGGTTCTCTTCGCCCTCGTCGTACGCATCTTCAAATTCAGTGCAACGCCACAAGTCATCGTCGCGGCGAGGCTGACCGTCGCGATCGGCGCTGCTCTGTCGCGAGATCGAAGGCAGCAGAGTCGGCAATATCGAGTCGATGATGTCGCTGCGCGCCGACATGATCGGCATCTTCTTCGTGGGCTCGCCGAGGACGACCTTGACTTTCGGCGAGGGGAGCTCCAACGTGGCGATCGGCTGGCCAAAGTTCCGGACGGACGGCGAGTCGCGAGTCCCCGTGTCCTTGGCGGATCCCGACTCGCTGCCGGAGCTCAGGTTCCTCAGGATAACACCGGACGGCGGGCGGTAGCCGCCGATCCTCCTGTTGGGCCGCGAGTGGACGTGGCTGAAGGAGAACGGCGACACCGATCGCAGGTCGGCCGATCTCGGGTGGGCGTTGCGGAGCGCGCAGGCCGCGCGGCTGAGACGCGCGGTGGACGGCTCCGACAGGGAAGTGGGTCGAGGTTGCCGGCGAAGTATCGGCTCGATCGCGGGCAATCGCAAGTAATCGCACTCCTGAGTCGATCGAGCCGGCCCGACGGGATTCGATTTGCCGCGGTTGTCGCGGTTGTCGCGGTCGTCGTCCTCCTCGTCGTCCTCGTCGTCCTCGTCGCCCGCGCCTTCGTCATCGTCGTCGTCGCAGTCGGTGACTCTGAAGGGGCCGGCTGATCGCGAAATCACCATCGCTTTGTCGTCGCGACGCGAACTTTCCAGGCGAATACGCGCCCTCCTGCGGGCGCGGGCGTCCATCGGCCGTCTCAGCACACCCAAGGAGCCCTCGGATCCGACCCTTTCCTCCCTCTCCTCCCACTCGTCGCTCTCCTCGATTCGATCGGCCGCTCCGTACAGACGCAGGAAGAGCTCGCGTTTCCGACGATCGAGCGCGGCCACCCGGTCGGTCAGCGGAGTGAATTCGTCCGACGACGGCAAGTCCTGAAGACGCCGCCTCAGCTCGGACGGCGAGCTCCCGCTGGAACCGCTGGAGCTGGACGCCCGCTCGCCCGACGAGGCGTTAATTATCTGCTCTGTGATGGCCGGTTCGGCTCGGTTAAGTGTCAGGGGCTATCACGAGGGACGTCTCGAGTCGGAGGTTACACGAGTGACGAGTCGATGTGACAAGTCGCGCGTGGCAACGTCAACGTGGCGACTA